GCTCGCGATGGGAAGTCAATGCCCGGGGAAAGGACCTCGACCAAGATCTTGGCCCCATGACCGATCAGATTCCAGCCTCGATCACCTGACCAGTTCCCCGCACAGTCGGTCATCAAACAAGTCAAGCAAGAAAAAAAAAACAGAAATACAATTCAAACATATAAACATAAAGCACGCACAACATAAAAGTAAAGTTGTTATATATTCAAAATGGCGGGCAAAGCCCATTGTCAAGAAAATTACAATAATGGCCAAGCAGGCCAGAAAATAACACAGGCACGCAGGCCAGAAAAAATAACAGACAAAACTAAGAGGCTTCATTCTCCTCCCGCTCACCACCCACCTCTTCCTCCTCTTTGGTTTCTGGCGCAACCACACGACCCTCGACGACTTGATGGAAGGGCCCCGTCCCGTCGGTGATAAAAGGGACGTCCGAGTTCACGAGCCGGAGCTGCTCCACGGTGTTATCGTATCCCACCTCAAGTGCCCCCAAGCAATCCTGCTCGAGCTACCGGATCATTAATACTAGAGTCGACCGGGATGCCATGAGCTTTTCCTCATCAGTCTCGTCCTCCACATGCTGGGAAGCCGCCTCTAGTTCTGCAATACGCGCCAAATGCCTCGTCCTCTCTTCGCCTACGGCCTTCAACTGCTTCTCCACCTCGCCATAGAGCTTAAGCTGGGCAGTGCTATCTTCCTTCGCCTGATCGAGATTAGTAACCAGCTTGTTCCTCTCCGCCTTGATGGTCGCAAGGTCGACCTGTAACTTGGAGAGGTCGGCTGAAGAGCAAGCCTCATCATTGAGGACCATAACCGTCTCGAAGACCCGAATCACCGCGGTCAGGTCCTCCGTCAAAACCTTCTTCCTCGTCTGCCGATCATCACCCAAGATGGCTTTTGTCTCCGCGGCACCCACCACTAGAGAATTGACCCCACAGAAGAATGTGGGCAGCAGATGGCAAGCTAGGAGCAAGAACCCCTCCTTGACACTACCTTCGGTGAGGTCACCAGTCTCGGGCTCGCCGACCCGCAGTCATTTAGGTGTCTCTTGCGAGGAGGGGGACTGGCTTCCCTGGGGGGAAGAAGACGAGCCACCAGGCCGCTGGTCAGGACCAGACATTTGCTGTACCTGAACAACCCTCCCCTTTCCAGATTTCTTCACGCCCTTGCTGGCCGCCAACCTCTTCACACGCTCGTGCATGCTCGACATCTCTCCTGCAAAAGAAGAATAAACAAAGTCAACAAAATAAACCAACAACGAACACACAGACAAGGTCCAAGTGAAAAGTGGACCCACTACCTAAAAGGCGCAGGGCTTCCTCGTTAGACGCACACTTGAGGAGGGCCCACATATTGATCAAGCGTGACTCTGTACGAATCTCCCCGTGTGAGTCGAGGATAAAGTTCCCATTCGGCGCTACACACTTAACAGGGGTGAAACTAGCCACAAAGTTGACTAGATTCTGGTAAGCTGCCCGGTCATCGGAGTCCAGCGAGACTGCCCGCACTATATAGTTATCTGTGTCCTTGCCAAAGTGTTCCTCCGTCCAAACCAGCGGAATCTTCGGCACTAAGACCTCCTTCAATTTCATGTCCCTTTCTCAGACTTCGAGGTTAAAAAGTGAATATATGGTCGTATGAGTAACAGGCTTGACGACATAATATCGATCCTTGAAAGCCCGGATGGAATACATGTATGCCCGGAAGAGCCTCCTCGGCTACTTTAAGGAAACCCAACTGTGACGACCATCGATCGTTTGTCTTTGGAGGTGGAAGATACGAAAGAAGAGGGTGAGAGTGGCCCCAATATTAAGATGTTGAGAAACAAGCTCGTACGCCCGCACGAACGCGATTGCATTATGATGTAGTTGTGAGGGCGACAACCGAAGTCAATAAAAAACCCTAGCTAGAAGTCAATGAAGGGAAGACGCAATCCTGCCTCCCGGAAGGTAAACTCGTACATAGGGAGCTTCATCCCCTTAAACGTCGAGCATATTCAGTGGTTTGCTCGCGATTTGTACACTTGCCAATTTACAAGGGAACCCTCGAGACGGTCCTCGACATTAGCGTAAGCATCAGACTCATCCACAACGAAGCGAGAGGAGATGCTCAGGGGATCCTCTTCGGCCCAGTCCACGGCAGATCTCCTGTGCTCTTCGCCGGCCTGCACCATCGGGGAGTCTGGATCATCGTCAGTTTTAATAATTCCTTGGACCCAAGCAACCATTTACACCTGAAAAGCAGAGGAAATAAGTGAATTTGACATTCAAAATCAAATTCACCCTTCCACCGCAGGTCAGGTGAAAGGGCGAAGAAGGGAGACCTCATACGAGCAGGGCCTCTCCCACCTCGACAGACGAGAGTGGACCCCCGAGACTTCGAGCATTTGTCCCGGGGAAGTCATACGAAACTATTCAACGTCCCCGGTGGGACCTCACTACCAGTCCCCGGGAAGTTCGGGTAAACTATCATACCTCCCCGGGTGCTTCCTCGTTTGTCCCCGTGGGACTCATCCAAACTATCATTCCTCCCCAGGGGCTTCCTCGTTTGTCCACGCGGGATTCATCCAAACTATCATACCTCCCTGGGGACTTCATCGTTTGTCCCCAGGGGATTCACCAAAGACTATCCTAAATGCCCGGGGAATTCATCGTTTATCCCTGAGGGATTCATCTAAAATCATTCTTTATCCCCGGGGTCTTCATCGATCATCCCCGGGAGCTTCAGTCTAACCCTACTTTTGTTCAAAGGAGCCCCAGCGTATTCGCCGGAAACTCCATGGTCTCCTCGGGACATTCATCAAGTCCACCATGGGATCGTCAGAAAGTAAGAAAAACAGAACAAAAAGCATGCAAGACTTACTTGATACATCGGTTTTGGGACAGTACAGCGGCAGACGGTGGACGCCGCGGTGCAGAACGTGAAGAGGCAAAACGAGAAGAGGAATGAGTGAAAAGTGAAAAATGAAGCAGACTCGATCCTATTATAAGCCTAGCACGGGACTCGAGGCGCCCCTAGGCACTCAAACGCCCTTACCCCTAGCCGCCCTAGCTAAGCAATGGCTGCCTGACACATGGCAGCACAAGAAGCTCCACAATCCATCTGTCTCCCCGCCAAGCTCCCTGACATGCCTCCGCTTCCGACGTAGTAAATGACTCCCAATTCCGTACGTCAGGCAAATACTTTCTCCCGAAGAGGTCCTCGATATTTCGACCTGCCCTTAAGTCATTACTCATTCACCTAGGAGCAACGACTTAAGGGGTTCCTATTTTGGACTGGGCCAGAACCTGCCCTTCAGTCGGGCAGGCCCAACCCATTGCTATGCTGATAAGGCCCAAATAAGGCCCAATTTCATCTATCGAGCACAAGCCTCAACAAGGCTCACTAGTCGGGCAGAAGACCCTCTTGACGGGGAAGCTCACACGCTTTTCCCACGTTTTCCATGTGTCTCCCACGCAAGAACACGTCATCAAGCAACTACCCACTTTCGAAAGAGATGGTTAGCCCACCTTCCAAAGATCACAAGGCAATTGATCCAGGGCGAAGACCACATGCTGGTCTTCACTACGCCACTTAAGCTCTGGCAGTTACTTGTGTTGGGCTTGGCAATCCGACTCAATGCGATGTAATTGTTGTCCTTGCGCTGGGGACACATTATAAATACCTCTTTCACTAGAGGGTCAGGTATTCCATTAATTACTCATTCTCTCTGTACTTGCTCTCTCTAATTCTGGTACTTAAGTATCAGAGCATCTTGCAGGTACACCCCCCTTTCCTCCTCGTGTATATATATATATATATATATATATATATATATATATATATATATATATATATATATATATATATATATATATATATATATATATATATATATATATATATATATATATATATATATATATATATATATATATATATATATATATATATATATATATATAATCAACGAACAACATATACGGTAAGAGTGGACAACAATAGAAAATGTGATTGAAATCAAGAAAGAAATAAAATGAAAGAAGGTTTACATATCAGAAGGAAAAAAAACGCGATAACAACTATAAACTTAAAAAATACTTTTAAATAAAAATTTAATTAGAATTTTGATCTTTTATTTTATTTAATTCATAATATTAATTCTTATATTTTAAATTTAAACAATTTTGATCTCCTCTCATACTTTTGTTTTTAAAATTAATGTTTTTATATTTTAGAAAATATATTTATTGTAAAAGAAGACACATCATATATAAAATTATTGTAAAGTTTTATAGATAAAAATATATATATTTAAAATATAAATGTCATCGACTTTCTTTTAAAACATGACAGCGTTTAAATTTAAAATAGAAATTAATTTTTTTAATTTAGTAAAATTGAGGAACCAAAAATATAATTTAATTTAATTTTTATAAAAGTTATAGTTAATAAAAAATTATAATTATAAACTTAAAAATATTTATTTAATTTTTTCATTAATGTCAGTTGAAAAATTAAAAAATAAAAATTAATAGAGTGGATGGAATAATTCATGGGACTATTAAATGAGCTAAATTGATATAAATCTCTAGTTTAAATCTTCCAGATTCGATATTGATACTTTTTTTAAATATATACTCTTATTTTATATTGTACAAGACAAGTAGTTTCTTTTTTTCCACACGCTTGTGTCAAAAAGTCTTGCGCATGTGAAACGAACAACTACAACAACACAACAAGGAATGGCACATCGGCGTAATTTTACAAAACTCAAAACCTATTTCTATAAACTCGGAAAAAATATCTAAACTTCTTCACCTGGAAGAGTCTAGAACCTTTTTTCCCTGCAGATTTTTTGTTTATCTCCACACAACCAAAAAGGAATGACCAGATTTTTTTCTCTCTCTCCTCTTCACCGCTCCCCAATTTTCTCTCTCTACAAAACAAATCTGTTACTGCGTCGCAATTCAATTTGAAGGCTTCTATTTTTTTGTTGCTAGGAGGAGGATCCAACGGCGATGGATCGAGATGGAGCAGGATCCATCGGTGGATCTTGCTACTACTCTGTTCTTGGCATTCGCAGTGACGCATCCTCCTCTGATATTCGCACCGCTTACCGGAAACTTGCTATGGTACTACTTTTGCTTTTCTTTCAAATTTTTTTATTTTTTTATTTCAAATTTTTAATTTATAAATAAATAATTTCGTAATTTTGTTATAGAGATGGCACCCTGATAAATGGACTCGGAATCCTGCAACTGCCGGAGAAGCAAAACTACGGTTTCAGCAAATTCAAGAAGCATACTCAGGTTTTTTTTTTTCAAATTCAAATTTGGATTGATATTTATTTATTTTTCATAGATAGTAATAAATTGAATTTCGGGTGAATTTGATGTTGATTTTTTTTAATGGTGATTTTGTTTGTGCTATAGTTCTCTCCGATGAGTCTAAAAGATCAATGTACGATGCCGGACTCTACGATCCTTTAGAAGAAGAAGATCAAGTTCGTAACCGGTTTTTTTAATATTTATTTTCTATTTAATATTTTAATTTTTTATATTGGACTTAGATTAAGAAGGAATTTGAATATTGGATTCTAAATTTGGGAAAAAAATTATGTATTTTTGAATGCAGGAGTTTTGTGATTTTATGAGCGAAATGATTTCAATGATGAACAATGTTCAAGACGAGGTATTTATTGATTGATTTCTACTTTATTTAATTTTTGGTAAAAATTGATTTGGGTGATGTGATAGGGTTATTTTGGTATTTACTCGTTGTTTTTTTATTAGGGGGATAGTTTTGAGGATCTACAGAGGATGTGGGTGGAGATGGTGGGTGGAGATGGAATGGGGTGCGATTTGAAGGAGGATCAGACGGCTGGGAAGAGAGGAAGATCAAGTGGATCAAAAGGCAACGCAGCCAAGCGCAGCAATCATCGCTGCTAGCGCGGTGTACTGGATCTATTCCTCTTGTAAAATTGTGAACCTTTTCTTCAATTTCTTAATGTTAATTGAATGATTCAAATGATCATAGTTCAAACAGATCATAGTTAGGATTCGTGATTCGTGTTTGTGTTTTCTTATTTTATTTACCAGGTTTTTGTTTTAATTTTTATTTTACTGCTCTTAAACATTTATCTAAAAGATTTTAATTTTTACTCCTTTTTTATTTATAAAAATTAAATTTAGAATTTTAAAGAATTGAATTGAAATGCATTTTGAAAAAGTCACTTAATCGTAATCATAGAATAGACTTCAAATATTGCTTAAATATGAAGATAAATTTGACTTTTATTTTAATTTTATATATAAAATAATATCAAGTTACTTAATCATAGATTTTGGAGGTTGGAAAGAGTATTTTACCACATATTAATCACAATTTTTTTAAAATAATCTATTTATTCAATTTAAATATTAAAATAATATTTTTTTAATTTATTTTTTCAAAGTGATGTAGTTTCCGAAGATCAAAACATGCAGACGTAGTTTCCTAAGCCCATGCCTATTTGATTTGTAACATACACATTAGCCAAATCAAATGGTCTACACTTTTATTTCTTTTATTTTTTTATTTTATTAAGGAAATAAATTAAAAATACGTTAAAAATTGAGGGGAAAAAAACAATTAAAAAATATTATTAAAATACATTAGAGTTTATAAAAAATGAAGAAAAAAATTAATGTCCGGCCTGATCAAAATGTTTTTCGGCTCATATTTTGACGCATTAGCATGCCTTCGAGGTCGACCATAATTTTGTTGAGATGTTTATGGTCTTTGCGTATTGAGATGTTTATGAGCTTTGCATATTGGCCTGCGGAAAAGGTATTTGTTGCGAGAGTCCCGGCATATTTGATAAATTTTTAATCATTTGTCTCCAATAGCTAGGGGTTGCTACCAACGACGCTTTCGTAGTTCAGTTTCATGTCCATGTTTTTGAAATTGAAACGTAGTGGTTGGGGTTAGGTGCAGATGATATGTTGGTCGAATTGGTGCATTGAATCGTTTTGGAAACGATGTAATGGCTGTTGTGGGGTAAGGTTGGTGGTAAGATGTATGTGTGTTCATTTGTGGAGGGGGCTAAGGTGGGCTGGGGTGGATGTAGGCAGATGTGGTGTCGGTGTGCGGATGTTGGCGGTAAGAGTCAGACTCTTGTGTTGTGATTGAGTGGGTGTCATGAATTGCAGATTTGGAAGTTTGATTGGGTGGGTAGATATTGTTGTTGGCTATGGTGCGGAGTTTGTGGTTGAATGTGGTGTGAGGTTGGTTGTTGGGCAGGTGTTTGCTGTTGTGTGTATGAGGACGAGCCACGTTGGCGCGAATATATGAAATATGTCGGCTCAGCCACAAATTATTCTGTTGTAACCGACCTAAACAAAATCATATATTGATGACTTTATCTAGCCTCTTCCATGACAAGCTCGTTTAAGACGTGGCGACGTCGATTCTTCTAATGTCGAATATCTCTTTAGCAAAGTCTCTCCAATTATCGTAACCCCATTGTGCATCTACTTTCATTTGACGTCAGTCTCGCAAACACGTCGGATCGACTTGAATATCTTGTTGCATGTCGAACTGTAGTTTCACTCGATCACTTTGGTGCATCTTGACTATAGTGAACCGAATGATTCGGTTCAGTACAATCATTCAGTTCAGTACAATCGAGATGCACCAAAGTGGTCGAGTGAAACTGCAGTTTGGCATGCAACAAGATATTCCATTCGATCCAACGTGTTTAGGAGACTGGCATCAAATGAGAGTAGATGAACAATTGGGTTACAATGATTAGAGAGATTTTGCTAAAGAAATGTGTCAGCATTAGAAGAATCGATGTTGCCGCATCTTAAACGAGCCTGCCTTCGAAGGAGCTAGACCAAGTCATCAATATATGATTTGGTTTAGGTCGATTACAACACAAAAATTTGTGTATGAGCCGACATATTTTATAGATCTGCGCCAACGTGTTTCACCTTCATACACACAACAACAATCACCTGCACAACAACCAACCATGCAACAACAATATCTACCCACCCAATCAAACTTTCAAACTCGCAACTCATTCATGCCACCCACCCAATCACAACAGCAAGAGGAGTCGCTCCTTGTGTGTCTAACATGAGGACTCCGCTCAGAAGAGACCTTGTCGTCATTATCTTCGTAATACAGCTAGCCTATTGTGCGATGTTGATTTGATTAGTGTTCGTGATCTTGGGAACCGTATCCATCAACATAGAGACCATCTTGTGAGTGGGCCTATGGGTAAAAAATCTAGATCATTCCGTATAGGGTTTACCTGTAATATTTCTTTGATCATAAATTATGGTTACATACTTGTGCCAGTAACCAGCGTTAGAACTGTTTGAACTTGTAATCATGCTGTTGCGGTTAGAATATGATATCAAACTATTAATTAATTTGAATCGCATCTTTAGTTCACAACCGCTCTTTGATTTATCCAAAGGAAAAGGTCAAAAGAGGAAAACCTAATTTTGCATCGTAAAGACAATGCAGGGAGAGATCTAGGTAAGGGGTTGGTTAAGCTTAGGGAAGGTACTAGCACCCTAAACATCTGTAGTACTCTACAGGAACTTTTTGTTTATTGTATGCTTTTTTATTTTATTATCTGTTTGAAATATATTGCTAAGGGATAGAGTGACGTAAAGACCTAAGGGTTAGTCCTAAGTTTACTCGGCAAGACGTCGCATCTTGTGCCTACGTATCCTGGATGGGAATGGAATCAGAGTAATCGTAGTTCCCCTTTTATCAAATGCAACTCATGTTTATATAGGTAACAAATTAGGTTTAACTCTAACCTAATGACTATTTTAAAGCCCAACTTAAATAATTAGTCAAAACTAAAAAAACAAACTAAAACAAACTTAAAAGAATAAAATCTTTTCTAATATTTTTAATTTTATGATTTTTGGATGTTTTTATGAATAATATGGAAAAAAGTGAAAAAATAATATTTTTTAAAAAATAATTTAAATAAAATACGAAAATAATAATTAAATAATAAAAAAAACTATTTTTGTTATTTTTTTTTATGAAAATAGAAAAGTTAGAATAAAAATAAAAGAAAAACAAAAAGTGAAGAAGGTTAGATTCGAACTCTCGACCTCTCACACTCACAACTCCTTACACATGGTCTCTTGCCAATTGTGCCATTTTATTCATTCAAGATAAAGTGGCACTAGAAACCATGTAAAGGTAGAACAAATTTGGAGTGCAACAAATGCCCCTATTTAAATAGCTTCACCGGATGATTTGAGCAGCGGAGACTCGAGAAATCGCGGTGAAAGGGATTTAAATACAGATAACCGGAAACTTGGCCCCTAGATGCAGTGATATGCAATGATATGGACAAAATAACACGAACTATAATGTTGACAATGCCATGAATCTAATATGATGCGTATGATGGAATGATGAATGCAAGGATGCAGACGACACGACGTCATAGGGGACAGCGCAACGAAGAATTGCACTGGGGAAGAAGACACGCGGTGGTGACAAGGTAACATAGGATCCACACGGAGACAGGACCAGGTAAACGACAGACGCTAGAGTTTTCGGGACATTCCTTGAAGAGATCGAGCGGGATCTTCAGGACTCACCGGAAAACATATAGGGAGAGACAAACATCAGAACATTTCGGAAGAACATCGAAAAGGAGACACGTCGTATCTGGAAGAATGTCAGATAGACATGACACGAAATAGTCGATGGGTGCCAAGTAAACTGGACTTTGTCCACAAGGTAAGACGCAGATAAAACACGACCTCGGGAGAAAAACGCAAATGGGGATAAAATACCCATGATGCCATGTAAATTGGACTTTGTCCGCAAGGTAAGACGCGGGTAAAACACGACCTCGGGAGAAAGAAGGCGAATGGGGATAAAGCACCCATGATGCCAAGTAAACCGGACTTTGTCCACAAGGTAAGACGCGAGTAAAACACGACCTCGGGAGAAAGAAGCAAATGGGGATAAAACACCCATGATGCCAGGTAGATTGGAATTCGTCCACGAGGTAAGACGCGGGTAAAACACGACCTCGGGAGAAGAATGAAAATGGGGATAAAACACCCATGATATGCACATGTGTATAAATCATGATATGATAGATGATCAAATGACAATGCAGATGTCGACGACAAGGCTCGACTCTGTTGGTAAGATGACAAGACTGGAAAACTGATTCCTCAACCCGGAGATCACTGCCACTTGCTAAATTGTAATCAGGTTGATGGTCCTCGTAGGATGGAAAGCCGCTTGGAGATCTTTCAAGTAAACTGCCCCAGATTAAATTGTCCATTACAGATGAACTGATAATTGCTTCAACTTGTCTGATTCTGAAAATGACTGTTTTACTGTACCCTCGGATGGTTTGCCCCAGTCCGAGTCTTGAAAATCTCATGGATAAACCAGATCTGAGAAGACTTTGCCCCTGATAGGATCACTTAACCAAGTTTCTCGATTGTTTGAAATTTCCTTAGAGGAAAGCCAGTTTGCAAACAAAAATATTCATACAAACATGGTAATGCAAAGTTCATGCAACTTTTGAAATCAAAATTATTTTTGAAAGATGAAAAATAAATGAGTCATCGATTAGAACGCGGCGGTCCAGGACGCTCAAAGTTTAATACAGGTATACAGCCAAAAAAAATGATTCACAAAGATCTTTAGGAGTCAGCTTACGCAACCTTGTTGTAGCATGCTTTCAAAATATCCTTGTTTCAATTATGTCTTTTGAGGGTTGTAACGTGGCCTGGTTCACGGTTTATGAAACAAATGATAAAGGCTCAACATTTGTTTGTTCCCACCCAATCTACGTGATAATCTTCAGTCCTACGCTCAGTTAACTCATATTATGCATTTAGGTTCCTATAGGTTAGGAATTTCACTGATGGTAGTAATGATGGTTCGAAAGTCAAGGGAC